TCCCTTCCCCATTAGTTATTCTCCCATGTTAGACAATGAAACTGAAAGAATCCTTGAGGTCAAGGGTATTGTTTCAATTTTCTCTAATGGCCACTGGGCATTTAGTATACACGTGACAATTATATGTTGAATCAGTGAACAGATGAGTATTGTTTCATTTAGGTAAAAAGATCATTTGCTATCTCTTAAGCAAATATCATAAAATAAGTGATTGTTCTGGATGAGTATATCAGACAATTTCACACCACAGCAGCTGTCACCAGATAGCATAGGTGGCCCTTATCAGGAACCAGGAAGCTGCTATCTGGTGCTGAGAGTGAAACTGATGTTTCCAGAAGAAAGGGGGCTGCATCAGCAAGAGAGGTCCTGAGAGGCACAGAGCGCCCACAGGGGTAGTAATGGGTCCTGAGAGCTGTCACTTTGGGGAGCTTCTGTTCTTAATGAAGGAGAGAAAATAGAGAGGCAACTGCAGCTTGTTATTGAAAAGCATTGCAACTACAGACAAGGGTAGATCCTGGTGACAGGAAGTTGCTGGCTCTTTTAGGTCATCTAGACTAACTCGTGACACCGGAGGAGTGGTAGACACACTGCTCTTTAAAGTAGTCAGTGAACCGGTCAAACAATAATTTCCCTTCAGTAACCCAGTGGATGAAATGTCCCAAAGACTGATAGTTCAAACCATCCTCAAAATCAGACAATATAAAGACCTGGACCTCATGTTCCCAGTGGACAATGAACTCCCTGTGGCCAGCTATGTGTGACCCATCTTAGGAGCTTGTGAATGTCACGTATGGCCATTACTACCTGAACTGTAAGAATGCCATTTCTCACCTTCTGCTTCTCAAGTTCTCACTCATATCCCTCATGGAAAAGCCATTCTCATGTCCTGAATATACACTGCGTTTAACATATTTGTTTGTTGCCTCCATAGCCTTTTTCCACAGAGGAAGAAATCACTTTCACAGATAGAAAGGAGGTGAGCACAGTCCCTGAGGTAGAGCCAAAGGGGTGGCATCAAAGTAAACATTTTCCTGGTCAGGCCCTCAAAAGTATAGCAATCTTCCATCCTCATGAAGAGCAACAATATCCACTTGAGAAATTACTACGAGGACTCACAAGTTTGCAAACATGTTGCAATGATATTGCTTAACTTTTTTGATATCAGAGGGATTATTCATTATGAATTTGTACCAACTGGACAAACAGTTAACCAAACTTACTATTTGGAGGTGCTGAAAACGCTGTGTGAGAGAGTTAGAAAACCTGAACTTTTTGCCAACAATTTTTGGCTCTTGCATCAAGACAGTGCACCAGCTCACAAGGCACTCTCTGTCATTTGTTTTTAGCCAGTAAACAAATAACTGTATTGGAACACCCTCCCTACTCACCTGATCTGGCCCCCAATGACTTCTTTCTTTAACCAAAGATAAAGAAAATGTTGAAAGAAAGACATTTTGTTGACATTCAGATCATCAAGGGTAATATGATGACACCTCTGATGGCCATTCCAGAAGAAGAGTACCAAAATTGCTTTAAAGGGTCAACTAGGCACTGGCGTGACTGTAGTGATATTCAGCAATGAGGTATACAGCACTTGTTCTAAGATGAGTTTGCAAATGTAATTTTCAGACCTTGTATGTGGGCCTGTGTGTATATTTTAATGAAATATGCAAGTGGATACAAATGTTAAACAGAGAAATATGCTTTCAGTTGCCTGTCTCATGAAATGGTGTATGGTTTCACATATGTCCCAAGATACATTGTCTACTAGACCTTGTTCATCTGGATGATGGTGAGCAAACTTTTGCTTCATCAGATTTCATTAAAGTTAAAAAATGGTAGCTTTGCTGACAAAAAAACCTGGATTTGAATTGAAGATAAGTCTGTGACCTGATTAAGCAATGCTTTTATGTATTTCATAATTATTTTGCTCTTAAAACTTTGATGTCCTTACATCTGCACCTACAGCTAAAACTCATCTAAGACGTATTTTGATGGCTCCATATCACTTCCATCTCAAATGGCCTACCTTTTAGAGATGACCTTGCATATAACATACTGTTCAAGTAGGAACTCTGAAGACATATGTGGAATAAAAGGCAGGTAGAGAAGAAGAGGTTTCTTAATTATAATAACAAAATTGAGAAATCATGCAAAGAAAGATGCTGAACATATAAAACCAATTATGTCATAAGAATTTGTACAAAGGAACAATCACCTTCTTCCTTCCATGTGTTGTTGGAGGTTGAGGTAAAAATCCTTCCTAAAAGAGAAGATCCAAATAGCAGGTTAACCTGTATTTCAGTCTAGTAAGTGTGGCGTTTTCAAACTCCTCATAAACCTTTCAAAATGGATGTTCCATTGTCAGATGAAACCCAAGGTGTCTAATGAGAAAGTCTCTCCCTCTCCTCACCTGTGTTTCTTCTACAATTCAATCAGTGGTAGCTGGATCATCTTAGAACCTGTTCCCCATCTTTTGTTTTTCTTTTTTCCCTTAAGTTGTGAGTGGTTTTCCTTCACAATATTTTTACACCTCTCATCACTTTCCCATTTCCATCAGCCATTCAAACTTGAGTCCTTACACCAGAGCTATTCAATCAACACACACTTATCCCACCCCGTCTGGGTGTCAGACACTCTGGACAATCTTGGGGACACAAAGATGGACAAGCCCTAGAAGGGTCTAAGGAGAAAAAAGAAGGCATGGAACGATAAGTAAACAACAGTGTAAGAAGGACATTAATAGTGGGTTCAGGGAAAGGATGACCATGCAGGTCAGTCAGGGAATATTCAGAGAGGAGTGACATCTGAGCTTAGCTTTGTATGTTGAGTATAGTTTCATAGGGCTGATAGACAGGGAAGTCATTGCAAGGCCCCATGGCTGAGATGCTGTTTTAAAAATGTCATTTCACACCTCAGGAGACCTCACTGTTCTGCATTGTCTATGTGATGAGTTTAAACTCCTTAGCTGGCGTTAAATCCCTTCACAAACCACCCAATTAGTGGGTTATCCTGCATGACACGATTTCTCTACCTCAACCCATGTTGCTATATTAGTGGTGGATTTGGTTTTCATGCCATTCTTTCTCTGGAGTGTCTTCTTCCCACTTGTTAGACTATAGACTTCTTTATTTCAGCACATAAAGTTCTCTCCAAGCCCTTCTCCACTCCCCTAACCCCTGGGTCAGAATGAATTTTCTCCTCTCCAAGCTCTCGCATCTATCCTGAAGGACCCTTTGACAATGCGGAGGTGCTGCCTTGTACTGAGGTGTGAGTGTGGGCACCTGTCCCCAGTGTGAGGGTAAACTCAAAGCCTCAGGGCTTCAGCTAGAACTCAACAAGTATTTGGTGAGTAAATAGTGACCTTATCTTAGAGTGCCACAAAGAAAGTCACACCTCCCGCCCCCTGCCACTGGAATACCTCCATCAGCCATTTTAGGGTCTTTCCACCACAGTGCACACTCTGCTTCCAGTTACTTGAGTTTTTGTGGCCTCCTTCAACTTCAAATTCTCTGGGAGTGAACCATTTTCCATCCTCTTTCATTATGGACTTCACCGTGCCTCCTGTAGACGAGGGTAAGTTAGTGCTGAAACCTCTAACCATAGAGCTCCCACCACCCTGGATCTGTAGTCACCCAGTGTGGGCTCAGGATCAACAGCAGGAGAGTAGGGCCTCCCCTTTCAGACTTAGAATCCCCAAACCCAGAGTGTAAGTCTCCTCCAAGAGGATTTCAGCTTTGTGTGCACACTTCTTTGAACTTTATGCAACTAAAAATTGATCATTACCATCAAAATTAACCTTATAAAATTATTTCAAAATTGCCTCCAAGGAAAAGCAAGCGATTCTGAATGAGAGGATTTCAATTTGCTATTGAATTCTGGGGACAGAGAACAGGTGAGGCTCTCTCGTGGCCCTGGGGCAATGTGGAGGCAGAAGCTGGAGTTCGGCTGAGATCCCAGGTGGGGCCCTGCAGCTCAGGATGCATCATGGCAACGTCTGTGCATCTATTACAACATTTCCATCCAAGTTTAGTGGCATTATTGACCAGAGATTTTCCATCCCTGAAATCATGGGTAGTTGACTTTAAAATAATTGCAAACTATTGTTCAGTAGAAAATTTAACTTATATTCTAAAGATAGTCATATACTTAGTAACATTATTCATTAGGGATATCAAAACCACAATGAGAGACTATGTCACACCCACTAGATGCCCATAATAAAATAGACAGACAATAACAATTGTGGTGAGGATTTGGAGAAGTTGGAGCCCACAGACCTTGCCGGTGGGACTATAACTGCTGCATTACTGTGGAAATAGTTTGTTTCTTCCTTAATAAGTTAAACATAGAATTACCATATAATCCAGCAGTACAACCCCAGGGTCTATACCCAAAAGAATGACAAAACATGTCCACACAAAAACTTTACACAAATATTCAAAACAGCATTACTCATAATAGCTGAAGAGTAAAAAAACCCCACACTAATAATGAACAAAATATTGTATACCCATACCATGGAATATTATATTATTTGACAATAAAAAGGAATGACATACATGGATGAACCTTGAAAACATGCTGAGTGAAAGAGGCACATGCTATATGAGTCAATGGATACAAAATGCCTAGAATATGCTGATTTATAGGGCAGAAAATAGATCAGTGGTTGCTTAGGGCTGACTGGTGGGGTGAGTTTGGAAAGGCATTGACTACTGTGAGATGTGGCGTTTCTTTTAGTGGGGGGACAAAAATATTCTAAAATTAGATGGTGGTTGTATGATCTTGTGAATCCACAAAACAAACAAACACCCCAACAATAAATTCTACACTCTAAATGGTGAATTGTCATGTATGAGTTATATCTCAGTGAAGATGTTTAAAAATAGTTGATGCAAACATTTGTATTAATTGGTGTTCACATAGCCATAATAAGAGAAATCTGATATGATCCATCATAACAGACAGTGATTGCAAAGCTTTACAATTTAAGAATCACCAAATACTTTGCCATCATTATGTAACTTAACTCTCAAAGTCACACCGTGTTGTCAGGTTTTACATTATTGTTCCTTTTTGTAACTGAGAAAGGTCCCCTTCTTTACTCGGTCACTCTTGGCATAGCTGAGGCTGGGACTCAGTATATCTGATTCGAAATTCTGTGATCTTGTCACTACACCAAGCCCCCTGCCCTGCTGATGGTCACCCAGAAGTGACACAGGACATGAAGGTGGAGGCTGTGGGTCTCTTCCCCTTTTATTTCTGATTCAAAGTAAAATATGCCATATTTTCACCCAGAGACTGAAACCCCTGCACATCTGTTTGGATCTTTGGGCATCTTCATGGACACTTCCATGTGGGCTGAGCGCTTGATAAGTACTATTTCTTAAAGTGTGAAAAATGTCATCTTAGGGATCCCTCCGTCCTTCTCTCAACCCAAACTTGGGCCCCACTTCCTTGAATGATGTGTAATTCACAATAAATAGCTCCATTAATTGTAAATTAAAGTAGACCGTGAAACCCACTTTGGCTCAATTTGTTTTTATGTAACATCCCCTTCGCGTCACCACAGGTCACAGGAAGTACATCACTCCGAAAATCCACATCTTCTTCTGGGTGCGTTCTGGACCCTGAAAAAGAAGATTTCTTCAGTCTGTCTCATTCTGCAATTGGACATGTACCCCTCCTCCCATGTTGAGGTCATTCCTATAAAGACGTAAGGGTACTTAGGAAACTTTATCCCACAAATCTCTAGAGTTCCCAAGTCTTTCTTTCAGTGGCATTTTTCATACATAGCTACAGAATGTCCACCTTGATTTTACCTCTCCCATCTCACATGAAACAGAATGTTTTAGCAGAAACGCCAGCATCAATAAAACTCTCTTAACTCCCAATGTAGTCAGCCCACTGATTCTATATGACAACAAAGCATACAGCTGCTGTCACAGTTCTGCAGGGGCCTCTCCAGCTATACTATGTCACTGCAGTTAGGTAGCAGGAGACCAAGCCAGAGACTGGAGATATGTCTTCCTATTTGAGTTAACTGAGTGAGCAGAGAGAGGATAGTGATGGTATCCTGATGGAGATGGCGTCTGCCTGCTGTTTTTGTTCTCCGCCTTGCCTCATTTGTTGCTCACATCAGCTTTCTGCATAGCTGCAAGAGGAGCTCAAAAAGTGCTAGAACAATCTGCCAGTTGCCTGGCTGGCTGGGTCATGGCAGTGTGACCATGGTGGCCCCTTCACCAGAAGCTACAGCCAAGGCACTGATTGTCTAACTCTATGTTCATCTCCTCCTGTCCACACAGTTCTCTAGTACGGCTCTGTGGTCACTGAAGACAGCTGTCCTCAGAAAGGGATGAGGTCTTTCCTGCATCCTGATCAGTCCAGAAGCGGTGGATGATAAATGGTGTTATATAGACCAATTCTGAACGTTCTGGGTCTGTTCTGACCATTGCTGGTCATGGTGCCTCATTCTCCTCCCTGCCAGCATGGAGGGCAAAGCCTTTGGAGTGTCTAATGATTCAGATTTAATTCTGGTTATAATTTTTGGGAACACTTTTCCCTGCTTGTCTCTGACTCTTCTGGATGAAGGTCTGAGTATGTATAAAAATGATTGGGAAAAAATGCTAACGTTACAGCCACTGGAATAGCACACTCAGATTTTGTGGCAGCCAGGGAAGAATAAAAATTCAGCTAACCTAGGAGGAAACTCCTAGGAGGTGTGGGAGATGGAGGAGCATTACTAATACCCGCCTGTCAGGTCTGCCCTGAGTCCTTCTTCCCTGGTACCGCTGTGGTACAGCTCTCCCACCACATAGATGCTGAGCCTGCCGTTCTGCATCAGATCTGAGGAAATGGCTGGTGCCAGTGTCTGCACATCCCATGCAGAATAACTATGAACATTTTCGCTACACTGATTCTCTGTCACTCAGTGGAGGGCTGCGGGATGACAAATGCCATGTAGACATCATGGACAAAGAGGACAATTTAGTTGGACTGTCTTGTCCCACCTCCTTCGCGGGCCCACCTTACACCTGGCTGATGTATTCCCCATAGGAACCTCAACAATTGTCAATGCCTCTCTTTCAGGGTCACTGTGTGTGCCCTTAGGGTTGTACTTCTTTTGTGACAGCCAGGCTTTCACTTGCCTCTGTCATGTAAACATGTTGACTTTTGTTGTAGTGGTGATCATAGTAGACATAAAACAATTATGCTTTACAAATTTGTTAAATGCTGAAGGAAAAAAAAATGAATGAATGTGGTCCTAGCCTCCCTTTGTCAGGTTAATGGTAGTGGCTGGTGGAGAGGTGTCTTCATGAGGAAATTGTCAGAATACGCTGTGTGAGGTGATTCTTTTGGAAGGCAATTCTCCATGGCTTTCCACATGCCTCACGGTATCTTTTCAAGGATGTTTGAATAGAAAACTGTCTCGGAAGCTGGAGATAATGTAGCCTTCCAGGTCAAAGGGCAGTTTTATTTCCTGACCAGCATAAAACAGAGAACATCTCCCTCCTTAGAAATATTTCAGGAAAGAAAGTCTTCTTCCTTTCCTCTTAGGAGATTTGCAAAAGTTCCAGCGTGATGCTGTATTCTGTGTCTTGATAAAGATTTGAATTTTATAGGCGAATACTTTAATCAGAACTCATAGAATGATATACTTAATATTTGCACATCTCATTGTACATTGTATCTCAAAAGAAAAAAAAATACCACAATATCGACATGTAGTTATTGGTATGTATGCTGAAGTGTTTGGGGGACATGTACTGATGTCTACAACTTTGAAATGTTTGAAACCTGAAGATGGGTAAATGTATGGATGGAGAAATGGATAGATAAACAGAAATATGATAAAGAACAGTACATGTTGATTGTTTAGTGTAAAATTTCCCAAGTTTTTTGTAGCTTTAACATTTTCATTATTCAATGGTGGAGAAAAGAGATTTTGGTGAGATGAAAGCTTATTAAGCAAAAATATCTTAAAATGACAGTTACGATGAAGGAAGAATTTTCTTTAGCCACAAAGAGATTCTAGGAAACAATGCAGTAATCAATTTATTATAATGAGGAAAAATAAATGTTAACCTAGAATTTTTTAACTTTTTGAAAATATCTATCAAAATAAAGACATTTTCAATAGAATACTTGGCGAGTTTACCCTCACTAAAAGAACCAAGGGTTTGTTCAGATAGACCAAAGGTGAAACCAAAATGAAAACAATGTTGAGTACATAAAATGATAAAGAATTCATTTTAGTAAATATTGACTGCAAAGCAGTAATTGTTTCAAATTTTATAATAAAAAAATAATCACAAAATATTAAACAACAACAGCTTAATGATGAAGACAGGATGTTCTGTTTGGGGAAATTTATGCTAAGATCCATGTCATCTTTTCAGACTGGGTATATAGAAATTACAGAAATTTTATCTCCAATTTCCAAACCAGCAGAAGAAAAAGATGGAATATAGAATTCTATCTTATTCCATCACAAAGCAAAAAAGAGACGCAAAAACACACACGAAAATGGTTAGCAATAAATTGAAATATGAAAGTCTACATGTATCAGGAATCATAATAAAAGTAACCAATAAAATTTAACTATTAAAAGTTTAGGATTATTAGAAAAGATTGAGACATAAAACAAAGCTGCATAGGAGGGCTTAATGAAAAAGAAATAAAAAACATAAAACAGAAAAGTTAATGTAACAATATTAGCACCGTGAATAAGAGATTTGAAGGCAAAAAGCATTAACAAGGATAAAGAGGAACAGTCTGTAAGGATAAAAGCAAAAACACTAAGTTATATCGGTCATGAACTGCCTCAAAGTGTTTAAAGTAAAACGAAAGTAAAAGGAGGAATTGGCAAACACACAGTCATGTGGGAGAATTGAACACGTCTCTACAGGAACCTGATGGAACAGTTACAACCTGATTTACTATGGACCAGTCGATTTGAACAACAAAGTTGTGCTCGAAAAAGAGGATGTTATGGAAGAAGCCAGAGCCCAACAAATAGTTCAAATGCATGTTATTTTAAAGTGATCTAGAACATTTACAAATATTGATCACACATGAGGTTCCAAAGGGATTTTCAACAAATTTTAAAGGATTGATGAAGTCTTCATATTGTGTTCCATATATAAGTTTTCATTCCTAATTGACTAACAGAATATCTGAACTCGTGGAAATGTCACAGTGCAGACAAAATACTACAGTTCATAATTTCCCTTAGAGCTCTGCAAGCAGTTTAAGATGTGAAGAGTGAGATGAAAGCAGAATATTGTGGGAAGAAGAGAATTCTAGGAAAGCATCACACAAAAGGGATAGACTTCTGGGGAAGACATCTTTTGCTCTTCACCATTTCTCCTTTGGGTGGCCTAGAGCATATAATCAATATATAATCAATAATGTTGTAAAGGTTTTGTAGGGTGTCACACAGGGATTTGTCTTATTAGGGAGACCATGTCATGGACAGTGTAGATGCCTTATCACTGTGCTGTACACCTGAAGCTGAAGCTGAATAATAGTCAATGTCAGCTGTAATTTTATATATATATCATGAGAAGTGGAGCACAGCATAGGGAATAGTGTTAATGGAATTGTAACAGCTATATACGATGTCAGAGGGGTAGTAGATTAGGGGAGGGAGGTTATCACTTTGTGAGGGGAGAAATGTCTAACTATTAATGTTGTTTTGTACACCTGAAACTAATAAAAAAAGTAATGAGTTAAAACAATTTCGAAGTGTTATAAGACAGAATATACTATTGCCAACCTAAAAAATAACATCAAATGAGAGAAAATATAAACAACATACATAGGAAAAGTTAATATATGTAATATATTAATGTTCCTATTCTTGTTCAGCATGGTTAAACAAAATGGCCATGTAATAGTAACACTGGCAAGGCATATAGCAGGCATTTGTAGAAGAAAAACAACCAATAACCAATGAAAATGCTGAACCACACTAAAAAATTGTAGTAATGCAAATGAAAACAGAAATAAAATAAAACTTTACACTTATGTGAGAAAATGCTTAATATTTATAATGTCTAGTGCATAAGGTACTGATTTAAAGTAAAGAAAATGTAACAGTTTGTATAGATTTATTTTAATATAAGATATAATTCTAGATGTGTTAAAAAATAGGAAAATATATACATCAAAATTTAGGAAAATAAGGTATTTTAAAATAAAACAACACATAAAGATGTATGTCAAAAAATGTAAATTGCTTTAAATTGTTTTTAAAGATGTAGTCTAATCATATAAAAGTGAAATATTGATATTGTCTTTGGTCTTATGAAAGGTATTAGTTCTCTATAGTGCCTGTAATAAATTGCTAAAACTTTGTGAACTAAAACACCACAAATTTATAATCTTACAGTTCTGACAGTCAGATATCTGACACAAATGTCACTGGGCTAAAATCAAGGTGCCCACAGGGCTTTCTTCTTTTCTGGAGGCTGTCAGGAAGAATCCCTTTTTAACATTTTCCAAATTCTTTAAGCTGCCCACGTTTCTTGGCTCATTGTCCTCTGTCTTCATCTGCAGGGACAGCCACATCACACCTCTCTGATCATTATTCCATAGTCCCATGTCCCTCTCTACAGAGCAGGAAAGGTTTTTCTGATTTTTCTAAGGACCTACCTGATTTGATGAGGACCACCCAGATTATCCATGATTCTCTCCCCATTTCCAGATCATTAACTTAATCACATTTTCTAAGTCTCTTTCCACGTGTAGAGTAACAGATTACAGGTTTCAGGGATTAGGGACATCTTTGTTTCTGTTGGCATAAAATTCTTGAGAACTTTATAGATCTCCCATGTATGTCATGGGGATTTGCTCTAATAGACAGGAGGCTCCTTTACAGATCTTTCCTATAGAATCATATCTTTACTTTTGGCTTCTGCTGAGATGCCTGAGGGGCTCTATGAGTCTCATACTTAATCTCATCCAAGAACCTTTCTTTGACTGAATACTCTGATCTTTTGCTACTTCCAAGGCAGTAGCAAAAAGGTCTCCAGCCACACTCTTGGTCTTTCTACAGAGCACACTTTCCTGGCAGTGAATCTCATGATTTTCGACTCTTGTGCAACCTCCATAAACTAAGAATAATCCAGATCATTGAGTTCTAATGCCTTCTGGTTTAGCAGTTCTGTCCTCAATGTATCCCTTTCCTCTCACATTTTACTGTAAACTGAAAATAGAAGCCAGCTGCACCTTCATTGCTCTGCTTAGGAATCTCCTTAGTGTATATCCAGAAAGTACTGTTTCCCACAAATCTGCAGGACCCAATTTTGCTCAGCTTTCTGTCACTATATAATAAGGATCCTCTTCCTCCAGTTTCCAAAAACATGTTCTTTATTTCCTTCTGAGGCCTCACCAGTCACACCTTTAACCCCACATTTCTACATATTGGTGCTGTTCGGGGTGATATACGGATTCTCTGAGACAATCCAGGCTTTCTCCCCCATGTTCTTCGCCTCCTTCTGAGTCCTCACTAGCAGAGTTTAGCATCCACATTTCTACAGACAAACTGCTCAAGGCCATCTAGGCTTTTTCTCTCATTCTGCTTACAATTCTTCCTGCCTCTAGCCACTGCCCAAAGCCACTGCCACATTTTTAGGAATGTGTTAGAGCCATAAACCACTTCCAAGAAACAAAGCCTGTAGTAGTCCAATATTGCCGCCACAAAATTTTACTACAAATAGTGGCTCAAAACAACACAAGTGTATTATCTTACAATGAATGTCAGTTAGAATTCTGACACGGGTCTGACTGGCTAAAATCAAGTTGTTAGCAGACCTTCATTCCTTTCTGGAGGCCGTAGGAGACAATCTGTTCCTTGATTTTCCTTCCTCTTCAGGTCGTCCCAATTCCCTACACCCTTCTCACCTCTTCAAAGCCAGTGATACTGCACCTCTCTGACCATTCTTCCATAGTCACTTCCCCCTCTCTGCACGGCCAAGAAAGGGTCTCCACTTTAAGGCCTATGGGGTATATGGGCCCATCCAGGTAGTCCAGGTAACCTCCCCCATCTCAAGGTCCCTTGTTTAATTCTATCAGTAAAGTCTGTTTCCATGTAAGATAACAGATTACAGGTTCCAGGGATTAGGACATGGACTTCATTGGAGGGGCATCATACTGCTTACCACAATATTTATATAATAATAATAATGATGAAACTTTGGCATAAAAAACTCATTTTAACATGTAAAACAAGAAAAATCATTCTTACTTTTTTTCCCCTTGGCTTTTTGTAAAGCAGACTTGTTTCTCACATTCATAGCATCTAGAAAATAATAGGTGGTGGTGAGAGAACAGAAATGAAAATAAAAGTTACAAATCTTAGGATGGCTTGAGTTTCATAAAGATGTTTGATTTATTGCTTTCTTTTTTTTTCTCATGTAACTAAAATCCTACAATATTGAGAAGTAAGAATCCAGGATGAGTCCTGGGTCTTCTTTTTTTTCTGAATAGCACTTTGAAAAATATTCTTAAATACCTCTGTACTTAGTTTATTCAGGGATAGGATCAGGTATTGTATCCTGTTTAGGTCTTACGGTTTTTATGAGGAAGTGTGTGTGTGTGAAAGTTTATACAAAATCACAATATAAGCTGTTAGGTGCTGGAGGACATCCATCAAAAATATGTGCTGGGTTAGAATAGTTAAACTGATGTTTTCCCTCCTGATGATTTAGTGGCAGAATCAGTTGTCTTTCCAGGCCTCAGTAAGATTGTGACAAAATGTCACTCTTAACTAGAAGCAAAGTATACTTGGCTTACTTGGTTCCATAGAATATTGGGTGTGGCAGGGATGGAAATCACTGTATAAAAATTAGGCTTTACTGTTAATACAGTGATGTAGTCATCTAGACACTGCCATTTTAAGAGTGTATTTCCATAACACCTTCCATCTACAACAACAGGGCCCATTCTGTGAAACACAAATGTAACCATGATCTCTTGCCTCCCTGCTGTTTCCCAAAGACTCAGGTGAAACAAATGTAGAGAATGGGATTCTGCCATGGACCAGACCCTTCCTGGTCAAAGTGTGCTCAGAGTCAAGTGCAGCGGGAAACGGGGGCTCGGATTTCAGACTCGTGGCATCCTGCAGCCCGGGCCCTGTGTCTCTCACCTTCATTACTGAGCCACTGCCTGCTGCTGAGCCGTCTGATGTTCTCCTTGAACCCTAATCACCTATCACTTTCATGGCCAAGGTCAGTGGTATCTGCTGAAACACCTCCACCCAGAAACCCTTGGTCCCCTTACCCATCATATCAGATGCTTGGCTACTCTCTGGCCTTGCTTCTTCACCACTTGACACACCTTTGGAGAAACACATGACACAGGAACACTCTCATTTCCAGGTCTTTTTAACTTTTCATTTATAGACAGTCATTATTTCACTCTGGTGATTTTACAAATATGTTTCCTAAAATGATGTTTTACCTTCAAAACAATTTATTTAAAAAAAGTTCTTGCACCTACCTGGACTACTCCACCAACAAAGAATTTAAACTTTTAAATTTCTAGGAAATAAAGCAGCTGCCATCTGCTCTGCACAACTAACCAATGATTCTGGACCTACCTGTATAATTTACACCTTCACATTTCCTTCCTGTAATTCCTTCTTATCTCCCAAATAATGTAAGAGGCTAAGCACTCACTATAATAGTTATTGTTTCCTTTTTCACCTTAATTTCTGACTGGAAAGATGACTCAACATTGGGCATCCCCTTTAAACCTACTTTATATGTCAAAACATAAAGCTGGTAGCCGGCCGAGTGGCGCGTTGGTTAAGAGCTGGCTTGGTACACCTGCTCTGAGCAGCAGGGCCCTGGTTTGGATCCCACATGAGGGATAGTAGTGACACTGCCCTCTACAGCTAAGATGGTGAACAACAGCTCGACCTGGAGCTGGGCTGCCGTGAATCGTCAGCGACGGCTTAGGCTGCAATGAAGCTGCAGTGGCTGCCAAAAGGTACCGTGTGTGGCCGGCAGCCAGCGTGAACGGTAGGCAGCTGGCGTGAGCTGCCAAGAGCTGCCGTGAACGGCCTTCAAACGGCCGGTGACCAATCTGCCTCACCTGGGAAGAGCGCAATGATCACTATACCAACATGGGCCAGTGAAGCGACGTTCTCCACAACTAGAATGAAAAACCAAAAAGGACAACAACTTGTCTGTTCCCCTTCCCATGATTCCCCAACACTGTTCCCCTCCCCCAATTCCCCAATTAAAAAAAATCTTAAAAAGAAAACCAAAACCATAAAGCTGGTTACACACCCAGTCAAGGATATCTAATGCCTGGTGATGGCAGCTTCAATAAAGGCTCCAGATTTCAAAGAATACTTTTTCCTTGGGCAGGTATTGCAATGACCACCACAGCAATAGTCAACCAGAAAAATGTTTAAATTCCCTTGCAGGAGTTATATTAGACAACAGAATTGCTCTTGACCGTATCCTAGCTGAACAAGGTACCGTTTACTTTGTTGTTAATACCGCTTGCTGTACTTGGATAAAACACCTCGGACAAAATAAGAATACAACTGGATAAAACCTAGGTACAAGCCAAGTAATTAAATACAGTGCCCACTGGCATCACATGGCTCTTTAATATAATATCTTAGGTGGCTGTCCGCAGCTCAACGTCATAAAGACACCACTCTGATAATGGTTGCTCAACGTTTTTGAAATAATCACTAAGGCCTGTGCGACTTCATATGAGAAACCTCAAGAAAGAACCTCAACGTATTTTCCCTTAAAGAAACATGATGGTAAAGCCTTCTTCTGTTCCAGTGCTCTTGTTCAAATGTGGCCTAAGACTCCTAAGAAGAAAGAAGGCCACTTTCCCTCCTATGTGGGACATGACATAGTGGGAATGAGCCTTCCTGGCAATGAGGGACCAACACTGACATCACATTCCCAAAATGAGCCACCCTGACAATGGAGAGCCAATTTGAATAACTGATCCATGCTGCTTTCCAGTAATTAATCAGCAATGCTTTCAAGGAAAGATCTTGTACAAAAGTGGTGGGAGATGGAAAAATAGAATTAAATGGATCCTGTTTAAAATGGAGTTGAACTGTCACACTGGAACGACTGTCTTGCCTGTCTCATGCCTCAAACCTTTGCACTGTTAAAACAGGGGAAAACAACTTTGGGACTGGACCTAAAGAAGCATTGTGTCCGAAGGAACAGTTTTCAAGGAAAACAAGAAAGGAGATATTTTGACTACTGAACCGATACTACTGACTGAAATTAAAAACATGTTTTAGAATTAGCATCACTATGTTAACTTATCTGCACCAGTAGAATTGCCTCTTTTCTTGTGATGTAATTACTCCCTTTCTCTGTCTCATAAGTACCCCTTGCCTTTGTCTCCTAATCAGAATACAATTTGGGCTTGTGCTTGAATCAGTACTTTCCTGAATAGCTATTCTTTTGATCTCAAATAAATGCTTGTTGCCTCTCACTTTGAAAGGCCTTTCATTTTTAGGTAAACAGTGTCCTAGAAGTAATAGAATCAAGGCAAATGGAAAATGTTCAGAATAACATTCACCAGGAAAACAGAGCCCTAAGGTTAGACATGGGATATTTGTCATCGATGAATGCGATCTTAATATTCTTACCTGGTGCAATCTGGGGTCCTGAGCGGGTGACTTCATGGGTGTCCTCTCTCTCACTTGATTCCGACAAGTTACTGCTGGTCACTGCACAGAGGAGCAAAACCCTTAGGTTCTCAGGGTGGCGCCAAGGAGCCCACAGACAGGAAACCCCATAACTAGAGCACCAGGAAGACCTAGAAGCTGTGCACTCAGGTCACCCAGGCCTGTGCCTGGATGTGTGTGACCTGCAGGTTGCTCCAGGTACTATGCAAAAGGTGAGGAAATTCATGCACAGAAGGCAGCTTTGCCCATCCTGCACCGATTCCTACTCCCACCCTCATTCTACCTCATTCTTTTTAATCCTCATTTTAGTTCTTTACTTTCCTTTTAGCTTGGACAATTTCCATTGATTATTCTTGTTCCTGGCAATAGTACATCTTTATATCTCTTCTTGTCTTCATGTGTTTCTTTTTCATCTCCTCTAATGAATATCTTGACACTCTGATTATCTTTCTTTTCTTTAACAGGACCTGACACCTGCACTTTCAACTCTTGAGTAGAAATAGTCTCTCAGATATTAGTATTTAAACTGACCATTTATGGGTTTTTTGTATTTTTCCGATTACTAGGGACATTTTTCTGCTGAGCTCACCGTATGAAATGTTGGTCCCCTCCCTTCCTACCTCTAACCAAGGCCGCTTGGGCTGCCTGCACAGGCCCTGACCATGGCTGGCCTGCTTGGTGGGAGGTGGTGTCCCGGGTGAGATGCAACTGCTGCCAGAATTGCTGCCTGAGGCAGCAGCAGGGAAATACTCAGCTTCTCCCTGGCTCCTCCTGTCTTGCAAGCAGTGTCTCCCATGTTTGGAAGCCAGCAGGAAGCCAGCAAGCAAAAGAGCTGGCCAGCAAGTCTGCAGGGGCCAGGGGTCAGAGATAGAAGCAAAGCAGAACAGGAAACGGTAAGGAATGAATCTCTGTGTAAATCACCCAGGACCAGCACACCCCCTCCTCCACGGCAACCCCCTTTGCTCATTATCGATCCACTGACCCATGCCGTCATTTCCACCAACCTCAGTAGTGTATGAATGGACAGATATTTTTTCAGTGCATTATGATTTTTTTCATTTGGTGCTATTTTTGAAACAAAGGAATTGATGTAAAGTATGATTTAAAAATTAATTCCCCCAATTTTAACATAGAATGTGGGCCCTGGTGTGTGTTTTTGTCACATTCACAGCTCCTTGGAGCCTCCTCTTGGGGCGGTGGGCATGAGGCACAGCCCTTCCCTCATCCGTGCATATCACAGTCAGCTGTCGCTGCTGGGTCAGACTCTTGGACACAGTTATTGGCGTCTTTGTATGCATCGTTTTGGCTGTAGGTTGACATTTCTCTTTCTATTCATTGCTGCCCTTTACTGAGATGCTCTGGGATTTCATTTCCAGGCGGGGCAGCCCCCAGACCACATCATGAGTTATAATGTCACTGCCTCCTCCCCCGACGCCCTCCACACACAGCCTGGATCCTTTTTCTGTGCTCATTACTAGTCACAATTTCTTCCATTCACCACTTCCTGTCCCCACCAGCTGCACTGGTAGATAAATAGTTAACATGGATTTATGCATTTTAAAAGATATTTGTAGATGTTAACTTTTTGAATAAATGTGATTTGCTGAAAGAATAACTATGCTTTAAAAA